AAAATTTATACTAGTTAAAATAGAAGATAAGTTCTGCATGTTATAAACGAAATGATCCTACTCTACTTTTAAGTAGAAACTTCATTAAAAATTTTGAGTTTTAACTTACAATAATTTTTAAAAATTTTTTAGTAGTTATAAATAATTGTCTTTATTTTAAAAAAATAAATACTTGTTAAAAAAAAAAAAGAAAGTTCACGTATTTCCAAATTTGGTGGTCATTTCGGGATATAACCATGCCTTCAAGTCTTCAACCACGCAATTTCTTTTTCACCCAAAAAAAAAAAAACCACCCAATTTCTTCTTTCCTAAGAGTTTTGACTTATTTTTTACTGCTCCTAAATTCAAAGAATAATTTATAAGAATGACCCTAACGTTTTAAGATTGTTTCAATCTAATCCTTAACAACTTAATTGTTTTAATTACATCCCTAACATATTGAAAGTTTCACCTCTTTATTTATTTTGAGCTTTTCTAACTTAAAAGTATATATTAAAAATGCATTAACTACAAATTTTCAGAATTAATTTACATAAAAAATAATTTTAATTTTAATAATTATCTAATTGAAAGCTTTTATATAACATTATCCTAAAATTAATTTTTTTTTTTTTAGATTGTGTTAAGCCTGTCTCTTTTACAAATTTAGTTGTGTTTAAGAAACAGCAAGTGTACAACACTAATCTTATCTTTACCATATAGGTTTGCCTGACGAATAGCGTGGATGTCCCATGGTAGCCTTTTAGTCCAAAAATTCCAAAGATGTGGTATTTAGAAACTCAAATTTGGGTCCACATGCACCTGCCCTTGTCTCGTATGTGGCTAGTTTTAAAGCTACATTTTCATAAATATGATATTAACTTAAATTTTTTATTTCTTAAAATTTATACTAGTTTTCCGGCACTTAGAGGCCAACTGATCTTTCTGTAAGGTAGGACGTGTTTAGAACTAGTTGAATTTAAGTGTAATCCCAAGTCTCCTTTCCCTATCTCTCGAAAAAATTTCTCATTGTTCAAAAAAAAATTTATACTAGTTAAAATAGAAAATAAGTTCT